TACTAGTAGCTTCTTGTTACTACTAGTAAGGCACTTGTTACTAGAAGCGATGCACTTGCTACTAGTAGCTTCTTGTTACTACTAGTAAGGCACTTGTTACTAGAAGCGATGCACTTGCTACTAGTAGCTTATTGTTCCTGGACCAGTGAGTTCGTAGAATGCCGCACCAAGGCAAGTCGGCCACCTGTTTTTGGACGAGAAGCGAGGGGTTGGCAAGGTGGGACCGACCGAGACACCGCAGAGTTCCACTGTACGCACCGATGCATGCTGAACGATGTCGCACAGTGAACCACGCGATGCGATGCAGTGTGTTTTGCAGCGAACGCATTTGCTTTTGCTTTTCCACACTTGACTGTGGCTCTGCCAGTGACCTTCAGTGAAGTGTCTTTGTGTAACGTCCTCGCAGCTGTTTTTCGCTCCAGCTACTGTTCCAGGGTGAGTGGGCAACTCCCAGAACTACCCAGCAAGGCCGTGCTCATCACTTGCTGCTGCTCTTGACTCCTCCGTGCTTTTCCTCTTGGGCACCTTCTTCACTTTCCCTCCATGCCAAAGTTCCAACGTCAGGCAGACCAGGGGACGAATTCTGACCAGCTTTTTCTTGGAGAAGCAGATTAACTTGTCTTTTTTTGAATAGCTCACCAGTTGACTAGGTGCTTTTTTTCAACATGTAGAACAGCATGCACTGTGAATCTCTTTTGGGCAGATCAACCATGATCAACCATGATCAACTGCTGCCGTTTTCTTTTTCTTCTGGGCGAACCATGATCTTCTCCGCAGACGTCAAAGACGTGGGCTGCTCCCGTATACCACCTCCGTGTCCCGAGTCCTCACACCAGTCCTCACCTCGTCCTCGTCGAACATCGGGCGTCCGACCGGACCAAACGGACAGCGAACGAGGCGACGCATGCGAATGAGTCGGACATCTTACACTTGATCGATCAGCGCTTCGAGGACTTGGAGGAGACGGTCTCCCTAGCCGCCTTGGTGCCACAGCTCCATGACCGGCTCTTTGAGGTGAGAGAGGGAGGATGGTTCCGGTTTCAACCGACCAGCTTTTGAAACCAAAGAAGACAAGGGAACTTTAAGCTTCCGACATAAGGATACATAAGGCTTGAATATTCCTTTATATATATATATATATATATTTATATTTTTCAGATTGCGTTTACACTTCTTTTTTTAAAGAATCTCTTCGAGGTGGAGCAGATCGTGAAGCGTTTGCAAGAGGAACCTCCCAATCGTGGCCCTCGATGGAGTGTGAGTGACTCCAAACCACCAGCTCCTCTAGCACCACCAGATGATGATGATGTTGAGGGTCAAAAGGCATTGGTGCCCAGGCTATCCTTACCCAAAGGAGAAGAAACACCAGTGCCACCGGAGAGAGAGGAGATTCCCACAGGCCTCTCACCTCGCTCCATGGCAGCCCATTCTCCTGTAAAGCGGGAGAGACGGAAGACCATCACCCAGGTCTCGCGCGACAAGATGTCCGACATCAACGAACGGCTCCTGGACACCCAGACGAGTGAGTACTACACCTTCGGAGAATCCACCTGGGATTTGGTGATCTTCATCGGCACCGGAGCGCTGGGGCCTCTAGGGAGTCTCCAAACAGTGCTTTTGGCCTTGGTGAATGTGCTGATGCAAATCGTCTTCGTGGCCATTGCTTACTACAACTTCACAGTGCCTGACATCGACTCGAAAGCTGTGCTAGAGGCTGACCGCTGGCGCCGCTCCTCAGGGCATTCATTCTGGACCTACAGTGACGAGGCCAAACAATCCTTGGCAGAGCGGGTCTGCAACCTTGATAAGTCCTTGGAGCAATCTGGTATCCAGGCCGGCAGACCGTTTGGGCGGCCGTAGGGGCATGCTGTTGCCGCCACTCTCCATACGAAATCACGACGAAAAGTCCTTAGGTCCCAAAGCCACGGTGCTGCAATGTTCGCTTAGATGGTCTTGGATGGTCTCTACCTCTCGTACAAACAGCAACACTTCTTGAAACACAGATGGTTTTCTCACTGCGGATACTGAAATGTTTCTGACTTGATGAGACAAGGACAAGAACTGACTAAAGTTACACCTGACGCTAGTAGGTGGCTCTCTTTGAGAACATCGACAAGTACCTGAAATCGGGGCGAGAAGGCCTTGAAGGCTGGTTCACAGGTCAGATTCTGTGCGTGGTGGCGCTCATCTGTTGGTACTTGATGGTGGCCAAGGAGGTGAGTCATGCCACAGCATTGCATCGTGGGGTCATTGCGATGCCGTTGGGTCCCACGCGATTAGATGCCCGGGAGAATCCCTTCACCCAGCAGAAGCACTATCGCTTGCGGAGCGTGGCTGCGCGAAGGAAGCTGTTCAGCTTGATCTTGTTGATCTACCGCTTGGTGGCCGCAGGTGTGTCAGACGGGAGTTTTGCTTGGTGTTTTGATGAGCTGTTGCACCTTTGGAAGCTCTTTAATTGAAGTTGATGGTGAGTTGATGGAGATGAAGTGGGGCATCCTGTTCTGTTTTCTTTGGGGTGGCTTGCTTAGCAAGACGCAGACTTGGTGCAAACGGTTTTTGAGCATAGAGGTCCGAGGTGGTTTTGTTACATCTCTTCTCTTGCGATTGCCGAAGACTCTGTCTGTGTAGCCGCAGTTGCACCTAATTCTTGATTTCATGCAAAGGCCCAACAAAGGGGGGGCGTCAGCACCGAAGTTTGGGTCACTTCCGAACCAACCATCTCGGGCTCCCAAATGGGCGAACCAGCGCGGAGTGAACGGCAACAACACTTCAAGGGCAGACGGGTTCTGCAAAAGCAGGGGCATGGTATTCCTGCGGGTAAACGGCGATCACATGGCACTTACTACGCCCTGCGCACGTGCGCAGCTCGGCGGACTTCTTGTTGGAATTCTAGGTAGCCTCCAGATTTCTGTTTTCGTGCTTCCTCGGAACATTCGCTTCTGAGGGACTCTGGAAAGCCACTTGGCTTGCTGCTATCTCTGAACATTCGTCTCTTCTTGCCCTGCATGTACTTCGGGCAGTCGACAAAAATCTGCTGGGACTCCGGAAAGCCGCTTTCTTTGCACACTGCCATTCTTTTCTCTGACTCGCCATTTCCCCTGCATATGCCTCTCTTGATCTTCAAAGTGCCGGATTGAGAACATCCGTGGAGTTGGAGAAGACACCGTCGGAAGCCAGCGCCAACTTCCAGTCAAAAAGACTGAGAACATCAGAGCCAGCAAGCGTGAGCAACCCCCCCCGACAGAAATGTAGCCACAGATGCCACTGGGGCTGCCACCTCGGGCCCTTTTGTTAATTACATTGAACCAACGAGTTGCACACAGCGCGGTAACTGCTGTTAGGCCTGTTGGTCTTCGTGGGGACTTTCTTCTTGGTCTATACCGTCAGTGTGACCGAGCTGATTTTGAACGCTGTGGCCTTAGGGATTCTTGACTCAAATCAGCCGTCCGTCGATGTGCACACAAAAGAAATCGACGACGTAAAGATATCGTCGAGGCGGTGAGAGGACTTGTGTTCCTTGGAGTTCCATGCGGGCTCCCTCCCACTAAAAATTCATAGATGACTTCCTCCAAAACTTGAGGATTATTCTGGACATTGATGACTTGCTCTTCGATGCTTTGGCCACGACCCCTGGGCGTCATTTAGTCCATCAGCTGGATCCACTTCCCATGCCGTCACTCCCACGGTGGCGAGGTGCGGATCTGAAGTCCGCTTCCATGTCAGTGCTGATCCCAACCCTGACGTTGGTGGTGTATTTGACGATGTTGGGGCCCTTTGTGGGCACCTTGACCGAGGTGAGTGAAGCCATGTGTGGTGGCAACAAACTCTTTGTTTGGAATGTGGACAAGCGTCAGGTGGTTCTCATGTCACCCACTGCTGGGAATGGTTGGGAGGAAGAAGAAGGGAGCATCAAGGGTCTGGCCGTGGAAGAGGGGAAGAGCATTGGCTATGGCCTTGCAGAGAATGACACCAGATGGGGTCTGTGGGTCAGCGATGTCTCCTTCCTGGACGATGCCTCTGTGCTCACCTTGGCGGAGACCATCGATGCCAACAACCCAACATGTGGTGATTTGGCGGACGCTGAGCCGATGCTCTCTTACCTGAGATATTTCCTGGGAAATGAGAGCGTTCAGGGATGTGCGGATGCCCTGTCCTTTTGCAGCTCCTTCACCAGCATGCCTGACTTTGGCGTGGATGGAGGCAAGGGCTGGGGAGCTCGAATGTTGTGTTCCGCCACCTGTGGCTGCAATGATCCAGCAGGCCAGCACATTGCGGTGCAGGGCTGTCCATATGGCGTCAGCCGCCCGTGCCAACAGTCCCAAGCTTTCCAAGCAGTCCGACGGAACAGTGCCTGCAGTGAGAAGAGCGCCGCCAGCCTTCGAGAATTTCTACCATGGGTTGAATGGGTCAATACGATACGTGCCTATGGAGAGTCGCCTGCAGATCTAGCCTTAAAGGACGATGCCCTGCTGATTGCAGAGGCGATGTGGGATCACGGTTGCGACTTTCCAGCCAATTTGAGCGCCCGGAACATCTCCTGGGGAAACTGCTTCAATTGGAACAGTACCTTTGAGTGGGACTTCAAGACGATTGAGGCCTTTTGCCCGCTGACCTGTGGATGTTCAGCGAGTCACACACTCACCTCCTGCCCGCAGCCCTTTGGGTATTCCTGTGATGAGATCGACCGACGCGGGTGCCTCACCTGGAACGATCAAACCTTTTGCCCCAACTTCTCACCCAGCTTTCGAGGCGCGGTCTTTCGAGGCAAAGAGGACGTGTCCTTCTAGCGAGGACACGTCCTCTTCCTGAAAGGATCCAAACGAAGAGGACGCACCCTTTCCGAGGATGTTATCTATATGTATATATATATTGTATATACCTGTGTGCATCAAAAGGTTGGTAGATTCAAAACTAAGTCCGCATCGTGTGCATGGCTTTTCAAGAATTCTTCGTCAGCCACGTTTGTTTTGTGCAGATACAGCGCCCGGTAAGAGGTTCAGTCCTACCGTCCTACCTAAGCCTAAGCGACACTCATGTCACCCTAAAGCGCCTCCGCTTTATGACCGCGCGGTGCCATGTCGTTTGTGCAAGCAGAGATGCTTTTTGTTTCTGTGCACCTGTGCTTGAGAACTTCTCTGATGCGTTCCATGTAAGCCTACAATGTCAGCATGATGGAATTAGTTCATATTAGGACACCTCTAATTGCTTTGTTGGCAATGATCTTTCTTTGCTAAGCCTTGAGCCTATCACCTTGCTGTGGCGGCGCGAACACGCGACGCCCCGCGTCGTTGCCCCCAGGGGGCCATGCAAACGGGTCCAAGCTCCGGCCAGGCCAGAAAGCCGAAGACTAGAGAGATCGAACCCTAACAAGGAAGACTCTGTGCTTGAACAGCTTGACGTGACTGCAGAACGGAATATGATGTTTGAGCTCCAAATGTGTATAATGGATCTATCAGATGGCTTTCAACGACTGCCGAAGACAAGAAGTAGAAGTTGTCAGCCTGGGAACATAGCACAATGGCTTTGGAGTGTTTGATCGCGTGAACATGCAAGGAGCCCTCTTAGCGTAAGGAGCTTGCGAATCATTGAAGATAGAGTCCGCAGACAACACACGGTGGAAAAGCAAAGCACATCGAACAGAGCAATTCGCAGACATTTCTTAGCTACGAGCGTTCTGTCTTGGTTTGGGCATGCATACCATGCATACACATGACGAGTCCAGCTGAGTCCAGCTTGTGACAACCCCCTGAGTCCTGCAGGCCTCATCTCGTGCGGTATTTCAGCCACAGATCCTGCGCTGCTCGCGCCCTTCAGTGCGATTTTTGAGTTGTCCCTCACCGAAGCAGTGGCATTTCATGCTGGAGTTGGATCCTATAGTATCAAGATGGATCTCCAGTTCAGAAATCCGCAGCTGATTGGAATCTTTAGCATTTTCAAAGTGGAGGAGGACACGAATCTGCAGACTGCGTCTGCGCAGCTGTTCTCGACCTCTGCAGCAGAGATGGAGGCAACTGTCACACAAATACTTCTGAACCGCTCTGTGCCTGTAAATGCTATTGGTCTGAGCGTTCAAGGTTTGAGCAATGTCGTGCCGAACAATCTCCCCTGACCGGGCAGAAGAGGTCCATATGGATCCGACCAAAATCTAATTGCTGTCCTGTGTCCGAAGAGAGGTGAAGAGATCCTTTCAGGAGCGACTTGGGAGATAGCTTCAGATGGTTCACACCGTACTGTAGAACCTCAATCGAGGTGCATGAAAGAAGACACCGAGCCACGTGTGTCCTGCCGAAAGCAGGACAAAACATGGTGGCGAAGTAGTTCCATTTGTGCATGCCTATTGAACACTGGGGCATTTGTTTGGTTCCATTTTGGATGTTTTTTTGCTTTCGTTTTGAAGCTCCATCAAGTGAAAAATGAGACACCTCCCAAACAGTGCCTCAGTGCCGCAGTGTTTTTTGGGGAGCGGAGAGGGAGTGAGGGAGTCACTCTTTCGTTCACCATGTGTGGCTCAGAAACACACAGATCTCGAAGTCGACCAAACCCTCGCCCCCCAAGATCAAATCTTTTCTGATCTTTAAAAGATCTTGGAAAGTCAAGAAGCCTGGCTGGGAGACAAAGTGTGTAAACATCGGCTTGCCAAAACAGAGGTCATGTAGGACCTGCTGTTTTCACACTTCCAGTATTTTGCGATAGAATTTGATGTTGTTCCCCACCTGCCAGGTGAGGGTTGTTAGATTTTATCAGAGCTATCCTCCTCCTCCTCCTCCTCCTCCGTGACTCCTCCTCCTTGACTCCTCCTCCTTGACTCCTCCTCCTCCGTCTCCTTGCCTCCTCCTCCCCAGATCGCGGTGGGCACCACCGCGCCTCAACCACGAGTGCCAGCTCGCAGTGGGCACCGCCGGACCTCAACTGTGAGCGCTATGGGTGGCAGATCGGAATGTCGAAAGAGTGTCAGAAAATGTGCTGCGTAGAATGCCAACATTTATGCCAGATAGAATGCCAGAACATGTCCCAGAAAGAATATCAGAAAGAGCGCCACAAGAAAGTCAGAAAATATGCCAGACAGAATGCAAGAATTCAGAATATGTGCAAGATAGAATGTCACACCACAGATAGAGTGCCAGAATGTATGCTAGATAAGTAGCCGGAACTTGTGCAAGATCGAATGCCATAATAATATATATATGCATCTATACATTACATGCAAGATAGACACGTCCTTGGTGATGTTGAAGCAAAATAGCCATCGATGATCAGCAGAGTTTCATGCCACGGTGGAGACTACTCGAAGCAAACAACATTTCGAAGGTATATATGCATATATCATCAGATACATCAAATCGCTGATGGACTGATGGTCGCATCCTGCAGATTTGTCGTTGGGACCCCAAGAAGAAGTTCGGTTTCCTGGAGTGCGGTTCACCTCCACAGGCAGGGTGCGTTTCCTTGTGTTTTTTTTGATTGAAGAAACCAATGGTTCAACGGCTTGAGCTGATTTCTTTGGCTATTTTGAAGTTGAATTTCAGGGACCCAAATCTTTTGATCAGAGTGCTGGTAGCCTTTGCTCTGACAGAAACTCCTCTTCTTCGGCTCTGAAGTGCCGGCAGACTACCTTCGGGCCAATGAAGGGCAGGCACCCGAATAGGAGAGCAGGAACAGCTTGGATCAGGAACCTGATTCATGTGAGTCGAGTGGCGCGATTGGTTCTCACTTCAAAGCTACGAAACTGACTGCAAACTCTTCAGGGCACCTATCAAGGCCATTGTTTCTGCAATTTTTGCCTGTCAGATTCCCATCGGCGCAGACGTGGAATTTGAGCTGGGAGGTTTCACAAGACTTGAACTTGAAAATAGATCAAGGCGGGAGATCAGCTGTGCAATTCATTCACACAGTCATGAGGACCTCTTCGTTTTTTTTGACACATCAGTTGTCCCCTAATTCCACCCTTCTTCAAAAAGCAATGCGCTGGATGGGCAATGGCTGCGTGGCTGGATCATGGAATGACAGCATGCTTTCCACACCCAACGGCACCATTTCATTCAAGCTGTCACCCCACCTGAAAACGCCGAACCGGAACGGTCGACCCGGCGGAACCGCCGTTGTTCGGATGCAGGTCCGTTGACCGGTTCACCAGGAACCGGTCCAAGAGGACGGCGATCAACCTGGTCTTCCCATCCATCAGGCGTCCGCTCGGCCGCGCGTCGCAATGCCGCGCGTCGCGATGCCCCCGGTGCAGCAGGAACTTCTTGGAATTGGGACTCCACCCCGAGGTGCGGGCGACCACGGACGTCCTTTTTTTTCTTTCGTCTTTAGACTGGAAGAGAAACCACGACCGGTGGGCTTCGGGTTTGGCTCGGAAGGTGCTGGAAGGTGCTGCAAGATCACTCGGCCGCTTGGATCAGTGTCGGTTTGTCGGTTTGTCCGTGGCCTTTCAGAGGTGGTGGTCTGATTTGGACTTTACTTGTTGTTGCAGCCTCTCACCAACAGAGACCCGTTTCAGGGCAAGCATGACGAGAAGTCACCACGCGCGCAAGAAAACTGGCCAAGCGGGTTTGTTTTGTCGCATTGGTGCGGCTTTGTCGGCTCAGATCTCTTCAATGTTCTTCACAGAAGCGGGTTCTTCTGCCAAAAACCGACTAGGAAGATGGCTTCGATGGAAGTAATGGAGCCAATTGCCAGTGGCACAAGTGGGAGTCAGGACATTCCTCCTCCGAAACTGACACAGAAGGAGATGCGAGAACAAGGCTTGATGCAGCTCTCAGATGCAGAAGGATGTGCTCAACTTCTCTTTCACTTCAGCTTCCTTGCCATTTGTGCAACATTGGTGACTTGGAGCTATCAGCATGGGCGCTGGGGCCTCTTGCTGGCCGCGGAAGTGCCCTTTGGCATGGCCGAGTCGTTTCTCTTCAACGGCTTTCATGAGATGGTGCACAACACCGCCTTCGAGACCCGATGGTTGAACACCTGCTGTGCACATGTGCTGGGCTTCTTGAACTTCCGAGGCGCCAAGTGGTTCTGGTGCTTTCATTGGACTCACCACCGCTTCACCAACGATCCCTCGAAGGATCCTGAGCTCAGTGGGGAAAGTGTCGATTTGGATGATCCGACCAAGTCCTTGAGCGGCTACTTCTCGTTCATCAGTGGTCATCCTTTCGGCTTTGAGCGTGTGGCTCGCATGGCCCGCACCGTGTTGAAGAATGAAGTGGATCCTTGGGTTGCAGATAAGCCAGAAAGTACTCAGAAGGCTGTCAAGATGGAAGCCAGCTTCTACTTGTTCGGCTACTTCTTGATTGCACTGCTTGCTCTCTTTCGCCCGAGCACCGTAGGTGTGAAGGTCGTTTTGCTTTGGATCCTTCCTCACTGCATTGGTGCAGGACATTTGAGACTCTATCAGTTTGCGGAGCACAGAGCTTGTAAGATGGGTCCTTATACAGATACCAATGCTTGGATTTGTGCTCGGACCACCTCCACTTGGTGGCTTTATCGAAAGTTAGCTTGGTATATGCCCTATCACGTGGAGCACCACGCCTGGCCCAACGTCCCTTTCCACAAACTTCAGGCAGCCCATGAGCTGGTGAAGGACTGAGCTTGTGCATTTGGCAACTGACACTCGGGATATGGTACAGGAAGGTGTGTGGTGAGGAACCCTAATCATAAGTAAGGACCATAATAAGGTGCCAAGAGAGCCAAGAGACGACCAAGTTTACATTGTTTTTGACAGTTCATGCATTTTCAAAAGAGCGTGATTATTTTCCGATTGGTAGGATGCCTATCAGAAGCAGGGCTTTACAAAGATCCCCACGGGCTGCAGCCCTTCAGGGGAGGGTGGCTATTTGTATCTTCATTGGGTGAGCTTCAAGCATATGCTCGCAAATGTCTCCAAGGCGGCTAAAGCCTAGTCTGAACAGACAGTCTTCCTTGGCTTTAGCGCCCAGAACCTTTGTTATGCTGAAAGCGGACAGGGCTGAGCTTTCCATGTACAATCTTCAAAAGCTGACTTCAGCTCTGTTTCTAAAAACCTTAATGTAGCCTTGCTGTTGGCAGGAATATCATTGCTGGTAAAGCTGCCATGCATGATGGAGCCATGCTGCTTAGAGCAGAGAATCTAAATCAGCGTCTCCTGACAGACTTCTCAACAGCGTTCGAATCTGCTTTAGAGTCAAGTGCATTCGACGACTCTTTTAGAGGAACAGACTTCCACAGATTCACCCACAGAGGTGCACGCAAAGACACCGCGACGTTCCAACTTGCGAAGAAGACCCAAAAAAAAATTCAAGGCGGTTGCTTGAACTCGTGGTAGAGAAGGTACCATCAATGTCTTCAAACGTACTGTATATAAGGATAGTTGATCAGGATTTCGAACCCGAACATCAGAACATCCACAGCCATCGAGTCCTTAAGGTCTCAACCCTCGAGAGAATCCTGAAGCCCCTGAGCTGATCACTCCGGCGCCGGCCATGGCCTAAGTTGAACAGAAAATCGGGCTGGAAGGTCTCTCGATGAGGTTCCAGACTGTTGGGTTTTAGACATAACATCGGAAGGAATCCGAGATCTTTCTTGCAATGGTGCTGCCACCAGGTTCAGGAGGAGGCCATTCCAAGGATTTTGCAGGGCGACAATGTGGCGGGATCCTTAGCTTCACCCTTCAGTGTAGTGCCCTGAAGGCCCAGGTGGTATGGTTCCTTTTGGTCATTCACATCATTGTGGCCCAGTGGTCCAGTTCTTCTTTGAACCCGAAGTATGTTCAGGTCATTGCGGCCGAGACTGGCTCGGGCAAGAGCTTAGCGCCAGGGCCCTGGAGGGAAAGGCCGTGGGGCTTCAGAAGCGCGAGGGCAGCCCTCACCCAACTGGAAGCTCCAAGTGAGTATGATCTCAACATGCAGGGGAATCTTGGCAGTTCCCCTTCCTTGCACTTTGTATTCTGGGTGCTCTTTTTTGATCACAAACCCCTGATGGAGGTGCACAACAGAATCAACCGGATGGCTGCTCATGGCAAGGTACATGCTTCCAATGGTGCAACTGGTGCGGAAGATGGCGCAGGCTGAACTGCGGGCAGTGTCCATCGACAACGGGTGACTGGTGTACAAGCATATGTCAGTTCGATTCGGTTCAGAGCGGCCTGGAGACGGACGGGTGAATGTGCTTGTGTGAGAGGCCCGGAGCATGAATTATGGTCTTGCATATCGAGCTGCGTCGCCTCTGGCGCTTGCTGGACACCTGGTGGACATGACTTTGAAGCTTTGCAAGCCCTTCATCTCTGCCCAAAGACAGAGCTTTGGAGTACAATGCCAACACCATTGGCTTGGCTGCTTTCATCAACCCTCTATGCCTGCTATGCCTGCTATGTTTCTCTCCTTTTGGGCCTTGTCCCCACAGCCACTCGGGTGATCCTTTTTGCAGCCGCACGGCTCGTGGAGGGTGTTTCTTTTTGGGCTGACGAAAAGCCTTGGCCCTGCTGGACGACGCACCGCGCGGAGGCCAAGACTGGCTGACAAAAATGATCGAAAAGGATCCTAGTAGCTTCTTGTTACTAGTAGTATGGCCAGGAGCTACGTTCGTAGCTTCTTGCTCCGTTCGTAGCGATGCCATTTGTTTCTAGTAGCATTTGGACAATTCAATTGTTTTTTGCAGGTCTCAAATCTCAATGCCTGACTCTTCAAGCTGAAAAGAAACGGATCGGATTAAAAGACCTTCTTCAAACCGCTGCAGACTCTGCATGCACTCTGCTTTAGTCACACTTCCAAGGCCTTGGAGATGGTGCGCATCCCAAATTTGGGCGATGCCTTCTGGAGCCGAAACACCAAAGACAACCATCAAACCAAACCAACTTCACGTCCCTTACGGAGGGCTCTTCCCTCTCCCAAACCCACCGCGCCGCGTCATGCGCCCCGTGGGGCGCTGCTTCACCGGCCGGAGGTCTGGAGACTCCAAATCACGTCCGACTCGGAGGCCGCCACGGTGGGACGCGCGTCGCGCGGTCGCGCGTATTCGCGATCGGACGGGAGGTGAGAGACGTGGAATTCGAAACAGCCCCTGACTACGAAGCCGTGCTTGCCGAAGTTCGTGCCTTTGGCCGAAAGGAGGGGCGAACAGGATGGCGGGTGTGGAAGGGGAAAAAACATGGATCACTTCCAAAAGCCGAGTTTTTCACGATGTGCACCTCACACCAAAAGGATATACTTTGCGGTGTCTCTCCTGCTGGCTCTCCCCTGCACATGTTTTTCTGGCCTGGTGGTGAAAAGCTCAAGGGCTCCACTTGTTTTTTTCTTTCTAAACTCCAGCGTTGCTGAGGCTCTTTCAAAGCCTCCTTCAATCAGATGACCTACTTCGATGAGGCGAAGACGTCCCGTCCACGGTCCCACATCCTGCGATCCATGATCCAAATTCTAATAGCTTTTTGTTACTACTAGTAAGGCACCTGTTACTACTAGCGTGGCACTTGTTACTACTGGTAAAACCATCAAGAAAGGGGGTACATTTCAGGGTCTGGATTTACAGTCACAGCGACACACGAGAGGTGGACACAAAAATAAACAAGAACCCCAAAGAGATAGAAAGGGCTTCCAATGCACTTTTAGTGGTGATCTACTCTTCTATATCTTCTTGTTACTAGTAGCGATGCCCTTGTTACTGGTAGCTTCTGGCTACTAGTAGCGATGCACCTGTCACTAGGTAGCTTCTTGTGTCTATTTGAGGTTCTCTTTAAACAGGGCATTCTTTGGGCTGTTCGTGGCAGCACAGCTGTGTTTGCGCCGTAGGAGGATTGCATTTTGACGCAGCACAGCTTCGATGCGTTCCTGGCCTTGGGAGAAGATGCTGGACAGGTGGGGTATCCAAATGTATGAACAAACATCCGCAACGTCTCTTTTCTTTCGGTGTTTTCTTTTAGGTTGGAGGCCATCGCTAGTAGGTTGTTTCTTCCTTTTTTTGCCCGGAGTGGGCAGGCCGCGAGGTAAGCTGCTTTTTTGGTAAGAGGTAGCTAGAACGCTAGGACGCAGGAAAGCGAGCTTCGCTTCCTTGAAGCAGCGCTCGCGCGATTCATGCGCTTCCTAGATGTTTAGGGAAACCCGTGAGCTACTTACTGTATTTAGATACTTTATACTTTGCTTAAAATTTGGATCCAAAGCTTGGGAACCTGCATGAAGACATCGGATTTGGAATAGGATTTATATAGAACACGATTAGAATATGGACTTAGGATTAGAATAAAGAGTTTCTAGTTCATTGATTACCTCAGAACTTCTGGGGGTCATTTTGCCCTTCCTGACATGTCCTCTTCAGTTGCTGGAAAAGAGCTCCACATGGCCTATGTCTCATTGCAGGTCCTCAACATCAGCCTGGACAATGTGACAGGAGCGATTTTTCAAGGGGCTTCGTGGGACCTGTCCCATCCACCAAAAGGGGCACACCAGTTGCACACACGGTTGAGATGGCACATGAGAAAGAAGAAAAGATACAGACAGGCATATAGACATTTAGACTGATAGATAGATCGATCGATATAGAAATAGAGATAGAGACAGAGACGGAGGCAGAGACAGACAGATAGATAGACAGACAGACAGAAAGATAGATTTTATAGGAACTCTGAAGTTGATTGCATTGCATGCTGCCCTTTTTCGACTGAGATGCTGCAGGCTTTGTGAGTCGATCAAACTCAGACATCTCAAGTGGCTGGGAACGTGTCGAGATGGAAGATGCAGAAGATGCGCGAGCGGAGAAGCCAGGCGCCTGTTTTTTCATGTCATCACCAGCTCTGTTGAGGAATAGCAAGTCCATTTCTACACCCAGTCAAGGTCAACAATCAAATACTGTTGTGGAACTCGTTCCTGAAATCATTGTAGAAGATTGCGTAGGCGTTTCAGTTATATTCAATGATAGCAAACTGGAGACCCTCCAGATACTAAAGGAGGAACACCTGAGATTTGGATTGATATGGTGATATGGATCCATGCAACTTTTGAGAATCCCAGTTTTAACTGGAGGTCAGCCAAATCTTCCGGCGGACCTCTACCTTGCTGTGGCTTGGATGGAAAAGACCTGCTCGTGTTGTCCAAAGCCCAAGCTCTTTGAGCCATCTCAAGGTGTTTGGGCAACTCCACACCATGTCCAAACCATGTCCAAATCCTCCCCCTCCTCCTCCCATTTGCTTTCATTCCGAAAAGCCGATGCCTCCTTGCCTCCTTGCCTCCTCGCCGAGGACAGCAGGGAGGGCCCGATCTCTCAGTGGTTGACCTCGGCCGCCAAGAGACTCCTCCGCGTCCCCGACGCCTCGCCGATCGCGGAGGCTCTCAGTGCCTGGGACGCGAAGGTCGGATCCGGGTAGCTACTGTAGCGCTACCAGTAACAAGAAGCTACTTCAGAGATGCTTTCTTTTCTTTATTTTATATGTTTTTAAACGTGGTAGGAGGATGAGGTCTTATTTTGGGGTGTACCCACTGAGTTGATGTTCAAGCGGAGGGTGGCAAGGGTCTTGTTAATGGCTGCGCTGCCCTGGCTGCGCTTGGGAGGTGTTACGCTGCGAGTTTCAGCCCGGTGTCACGGTTCCAGCCGTTTCGATGTTTCATTGAACTCACCACTTTGTTGGACTCCGGGACAAATAGGACACTCACGCGGTAGCTTCCTTCACTTGTTTGCCAGATGTGGTCAAGCGTTTCACGATGCCATGCGTTTCATGATTTACGATTTTCTTTCCATCCATGCGTTTCATAGCTGAGACCGCTGTGAGAGGGCCCAAGATGTGGGACCAAGAGTGAAGAGTGACCAAGCTGAACGGACGAAGAGTGACGAGTGACTACCAGTTCCATGAAAAAGCGCGGTTGAACCCTTTGTTGATGATTTGAACACTAACATTTTGAGGTTTTGATGGCTGTGTCGCTCTCTTTGTTCTTTCGTTTTTTCAGGGTCTTGTACTGTGCCCTGAGGTCCTACCTTTGAGCCTGTGGAAGTAGTACAGACTCAGGCTGGTAGCTCAGCTTGGCTCAAAGCCTGGCAAATTTTGAGTGAGGAAAAGATCCATGAGAGACAAAAAGATCTGCCTTGAACTTGAGCATGACCAACATCGCCAACATCGCCGTAGCATGGTGGTTTCCAGTGTTTGGCCATCATCAAGTATTCCCGATTTTTGGACCACCTTCTTTCGACATCAGGACCAGCATTTGATCAACTGCAGGACACAAGTGAAGTTGATGCACCAGATCCAGACCAGAAGGACAGGCCAACCGCGGCTGGAAACGAGTCAATTGGAAGGCCTTTGGACTTTGGACTTGGTGGGGCCGGACTTGGTTCCTAAGCCAAACTTCATGGTTCCACGAAGGGACGATGGATGAACTTCTTTCGCGTTTTCAATGGGTTTTCAAGGATGCTCAGTGATTTTCGCGATTTCAATGAACCCCAGCAGCTTGTTCTCGAAAACGAAGAAAAAGCGTTCCCAACAGCCTTTTCGTGTGCGGGTGGTCATCGCGACACGGTCCAACCCTGACAGGATGCAACTGGGGGTGAGCCAGAGGCCTTTGAACAATGCCGATAGATCTGACTGTAGCAACTGATCACAGATCACTCACTGTAGCAACTGAACGACTTGTGCCAAGCATCAATTCCCACTTTTAGTAGCAAGTGCATCGCTACTAGTAACAAGACCATTACTACTACTATATAGTAGCAAGAAGCTACTAGGAACAAGGGCATTGCTACCAGTATTTGTATATATATATGGTTCGGTCCTATAGGTCTGAAAGTCTGCCAGGTAAAGCCGAAGGATTCAGCATTGGAGCGCAGACACTTGGCTTCAGACATCTCGCTAGCGTCGGCTTTGAGCAAAAGGCCCGCCCACCACCCTGTGCTCTGCGCAAAAAAATGAGACAACACAGAGACCGAGATGGTTTTTGGAACCTCCTTTCGTCCAAAGAAAGCAACGAACCCCGAAGCTGGGCCCCCCCTCTCCCTCTAGGGCTTCCAGGGCTTCCACGGGGCTTCCACGATGCATGTGACACCGAGGCTGTCAGGTGTGCCGTGGGCTATTACGTTTACATCAGCCCGCGCCCTTTGCCTATTGGAGCTGCGATGGCTGTGGCAGTCGGAACCTGCGCAAGGATGCCATGTGGGGCTGCCCCTCGGATCGGAGAGGCCGCTCTGTGTGTCTTTTCTTGTGGGCTCTTCGCAAGGTCGGCAGATTCCAGGAAAGAGTTGAAGCATGTTGAACCTGAAACCTCAGAGTCCTTAGAGAGTCTGCTTCCAATCCAAGGCTCACAACCGGATACCTGCGATTGGGGCTTGTGCACAGGTTGCCATCCTGAGAAGGCGGGTCCGTTCTTGGCGGTTCCATCAGGTTTGGCAAGATGGAGAATCACTTGGGGTTGTTTCCCACAGAATCCATGTCAACATATGTACACAGTATATATATATATATAAGCGAAATACTTGGGCATGGAAGAGTTTGAGCGTTTCAAGGAATAACTTTCCATGCTATGAAGCGGGGAAACCACGCGTCATGGGGCAAACTTGCTTCCATGCTGGCCACCAGATCACTACATGCTTTGTTTGCGGAAGGGAGATACACAAGCAGCCAGAAGGAGTGAATAGTGCCGGAAAGAGGACAGACAGCATGGCATTGGCGGGAACTGGTTTCGCACGGGGCAATACATAGGCAGTTCTGGGTTTTGGCACGCCTTTGTACCAGGTCGTATCCCTGAAACCCGAAGACCTGCGAAAAATGCTGAGACACTTTTGTAGCTCAAACCCACTAAGACTAAGATGTCCTCCACAATGCGGCTGTACATACGTTCATTCAGCCCAAGAAAGAGCGCGACTGTAACGAACACACACTGTAAACTCTTGTGCTAGGTGATGGCATGTCCAGTGCAATGTATATATTGGGAACCTTCTGTGTGGATGAAAAGGGAACATACAGTGCCCAACATTACTTTGGCAAATGCCCCCAATGAGGCAACCATTTCCAAACCAAACGCGCCTGTTTCCACCCACTTCCTTTATGGCGACACGACACTTGCGCTTGCCAGGCCTTCGGGCCAGATGGGTTTGTTGGCGACGGGATTGTCCCTCTTGCGGGTATGCTGCTAACTGGTCTGATTTTATGAGCCTTGACTTCAAAATCACCGCAATTTGTGGCGACAGAGGACGGACTCCCCACAAAATCTTCTGCATTCGCGACTCGCAAGCGTGGTCACTCGCGCCTGCGAATGCCACCGAGGCTCGGCTTCAAGGCATCTTGGCGAAGCATTCTGTCTCGCTTCCCGACACGGCGTCTCCAAGGTGTCGAGCGAACTGCTGAGGTTCTCTTCATCGAGCTGAAAGAACGAATGAGCTGAGAACGGACGAATTCAGTTGTTGCGCAGATCAGCTCGAATCTGAAGTTGATTCAGTTTTTCTCACACCCAATCAGGAGAGTCAAGAATTTTACAGAAGATTACACAATGAGTCCTGCAACTCTTTGTTTGGTTGTTGTTTTTTGGTAGGCACAGTCCGCATAGGCTTTGGCTCTCGTGCGCTTGACTCTTTTTGTCAGATTTAAAGGCTGTGATAGCAAGAACACCGCGGATCGGGTCAATCACCACAAGCCTTGCTGAACTGTTTGAAGAAACCACTCAGCCCACACTCGGACTCAGCCATCATCACGGTCAATCGTCGGTCCAATGCCCACGGTCTCAGCATCTTGTGCTGACCTGATGTCCGTCTGCTCCAGTCTAATTGGACATGCCGTCCGTCGAATCAACAGCATCTCCCCGGGGACGCAATGAACGACCTGACGTCGAGGTCAGCTCCCGAGTGCCGGGGAGGAACGGGGCGCTTTAATGCCTTGAGAGTCTGAAGGGCTGCAGCGCAGAAAGCGGCCTGAAGTCAGACATAGATAGATGGAATTTCAGTCCTGCGACTGTGTACATAGCCTCTTAACCTGGAATGACAGGTCTAGATGGCACCTTGCTTTTGCATTGCGATGCATTTTTGGGAGATCCTTTGGCAAGATATATCTAAAGTTTCTGGCAACACCCGCATGCTTTGAGAAGCAACCACTATGGGCTCCTACAAGGATCTCCTTCACGCTTGCAATGTGGGCAAGTACGCTTGCCCCCGACACCAAGCCATGCTGAAGATAGACAAGACAGGCGGTGTGAGATTGTGTTTCCAGTGCACACTTTCCTGTTGAACTGCAAAGAGCTGTTTTATAAGATGAAAGGTTGGAGGCCATCGTAAGTAGGTTGGAGACCATCGCTACTAGAGTGGAGGCCATCGCTAGTAGGTCGGAGGCCATCGCAAGGGTGGATATTTGCTGATTGGCGGGCCCTGAGTCTGCGTTCCATGCTTGTCCAACTTCGGCCAAGGCCATTTGTCCAACGCGGGAACTGGCTATACAGGTGAGGGAAGCATGGATGGTGTTCAAGAGAACTATGGTTTTTGTTTTCAATGTTTTGCATATATTAAGATTCTTTGCGAAAGCAACGCTTCAGTTTCTCCTTTGGGTGTGGGCGGAATGAACTGTTCAACCATCCTCTCTGAGAATCAGTCATCAATTAGAGTAGCAGTTGGAGATGTGCGTTTGTGACCATGTTCCAGCTTTTCGCCAGAGTTGGACTCGAGGCCCACAAGACCCTAAAGCTCATTAGCCACCATGCAAAGAACCTTGGGTTTCATTTAGTGCTTTGAGGCGAAGGAAGCATGAGACATGCATTAATTTACATTGGGACTTGATTCCAACTGAGCTTTTCCAGATGTAACATGAGATGATGTTGGGTATGCGCAAGATATCAGGTAATTACGACCATTCAGAGCATCACCGACGTTCCTTCAGAGCATCACCTGTTCTTCTTTTCATCTCAGGTGCCGTGTCCGTTTGGCCATGGCCACAGTCTGCATCGTGACCGCGGAGGGAGACAGGAGCAGCGCTGAGCAGCGCGCGCTGAGGTGCATGGAGGCTCGATGACCTGGAATAAGCCCGGCGCTCAGCGGAAGAAGCACAGCAATGACAGAGCTGGAACCGAACTCGCGATGGAGCACATCTACCACTCTCCGGAGACTTTTGTCGGAGTCAGCTTTTGAAGGTATTTTATTCTCACTTCTAGAAAAGAACGGCTGGATATGGGTCTTTATTCCGAACCTCTCATTCATTGTGTCAGGCAGCGTCGGGAGATCTCTCAGATTGTCGACATCTTGGTTTGCACACCAGACAGGCGGCATGACCGATATTTTCCGACCAGACAGTCAGACTTGGTTGTGGTTTTGGTGATTCAACCTGAGTTTTTGATTTGGTCCTCAAGGTGTCAAGGTTCTCGGATCCATCCTACTGATATCTCGCTCTCTGTTGCATCCGGCTGTTGCGATGAGGAATGAGGAATGTTCATTCGTGCGATTTTAAGGTGCTCTTTGCAGTCACTTTGTACGGAAGAGGCTTTGCACCTTCCATTGTCTCACCTCAGCTTTCACAGCGAGCTTGGCTCAAAGCAAAGAAGAAGTGCGTAACAAATGTCTGGCTTATCTCTTCTCAACCAGCAGATGCAGACTGAGCTTCAGATACTAGGACCGTACTCGGACCGTTTTCTTTCACTGCTGTTTCGTGCGGAATCCGCTGTTTCGTGCGTTCCCTAGTCTTGGAAAGTAGACCATGTCCATCACCAAAGGCACGACCGACAGTTCCATGTTGAAGATATCAGATCAGACGATGGGCCTGTAGCATGGAGCATCCCTGGCATGGGGGCACCAGGCGGGAGATTTTGATGATCAAAGGGTCTAAGGCCATGACGTGCTATGCAAACACTGAGTCATTCGGTGTGGAGCGAAGTTAGACTAAAGGAGGAGAGAAAAGAATGTTCGTTGAAGCCAACGCTTGTTTTCAAGACTGAGGCGGAATGGCCCAGGCAGGGTGTGCCGTGCTAGGTCCAGGTGCTTTTTCATACCTCCATGATTGGCATATCACGAAAGCTAGCACCAGCTAGCTGGAGTTGTCCTTGCTTTAGCAAGTGAGGGGCTGGAATCCTCG